GTTTCAAGGGGGTGGGCTTCTACGTTTGTACCCGAAGAACTTCCCGTATTATAAATTATCTACTGCTATAGAATAATTTCATCAAATTGTCTATCTTTAGCAATTGATACAAATCTCTATTCAAATACAGAATGAATAATAGCTAAAAATAATGTTGCTATGGTATGAATGCTGACATATATGTGGCCAACCTGGACTTTGTTTTAAATGTTTTTATTATTAGTATGACAAATCCTTTGTTCTGTAACACCAGATAAGATCAGAGAGGAACCATCCTCTACTAGGCCTTTGACCTACATGGCATACAAATACGCACATGTACTGACACCTGGAATTCTTTAGCTCCTTATTATGACACCTGTTACAATTAATACATGTGTAGTATGACTGGTGTGGAGCCTGATAACTTTACTCTTGGGATTAAAAATGTCTTCTTTTTAGGACATGTCGCAGCAGATGGTCAAAAAGAAGTATGATTCTGCTATGAATTCAAGGTTGTAAGTACACTTTTCACTGATCTATACATGTGACTGTGTATACTTGTTGAATTAAACCCAATTTAGCCTTATTTATCTTTGAAGAAGACCATATAAATGTCTCCTTTTTATCCTTATTGCCAGGATGACAGAAAATTAACAGGAAGAATTTGTTAAGTATGAATGTGGGAGAACTAAACACAGATGGATATATCAGCAGCATGATTTTGTATATCATAATAGTACTGAGTATTAAAAACTCAATTATTGGATTATTCCACTATCAATTTAGGGGTGGTCACTTTTATTTAGTACTGTATAAGTTGGCTTATCAATATCAAGAATAAAAATAATTGATACTGCAGTTTGATTAATCAATACCTGTACAGCAAGACGTCCATTTTACGTACTCCTTGGTACCAAAGGGTGTTCATAAATTGAAAATACTCCTAAAATCAACTAAATTAATGATGCTCAAAATAGCATCAAAGAAATTCTACTGACAGATTTTATTAACTCTGGGAAGCGACTGTCTATGTAAGATGGGAGACTCTTAAAGGGGTGGATTTTAGTGTAAGGGGCCCTGGATATCATAGAGGTGTCATACTGTTAATTAAAAAGCATACCCACCTATTGGCCATGCCACAATATAAAATTTAAACATTTCATCCAACTAATTTTAGACTACGAAAAGATGGACAAGTTAAAAGATATTGTCTGTTTATCATTGATAAGTAACAATTTGAAAATTAGCTTTTGAACGACAAGGAAACAAAGTTTTAAGAACTAAAGTATATCGTACATTTCAGTTCTAAGAAAAATTAATCAACAGATTTTCCTGATTGAGGAGTATTGAGGTAAGTTTAAACAAGATATATCTTAAACATAAATAACAGTTATTTTAATAAAACTGTCAATATACCACAACGTAAAGATTATTTTATATTGATTATATAACATTATTCTTAATTTAGGGGAAAAATCCCTGTCATAAAAATTGAATCTTCCAAAAACACTAAGAAACTTAAGCCGAGACGTCTCTCGCTTAAACAATGAATGATATAAATTTAACGATCCCAGAGTATATTCGCAACAATTCATGCCTTTACCTAATATTTAGATGTTAAATTGCAAGATAAAGTGCTACAAACATTAATTTATATTGTTAAAACTAGAAATTGCAAATTGCAAGTGAAGTGCTGCGAAGTACAACTGCATATAAATGTTCTTCGTACAAAATTATTTATGCGAGTCAAGTGAATATAATGAATAATAAAAATATAACAAATAATATGAGACAC